CCACGTTGCATCGATTCGAGAGTACGAGTGAAAGCCAAGAGCCATTGTTATTCCGGCTCAGTGGCATCGTTCCAGCTGATCCCATAGAGATCGCGTAGGCGGCAAATATGACACCGCATAAGGAATGCGGGAAAGGTTAAGCGCCCGGTGCGCGCATAGTAAGGCTTTAGGGACCGATCCCCACTCAAGTCCATGAAGTCGACGTATAAGAGATGTCGTCATCGCCGTCTGACGTACAAGGTTCGTAACGTGCCGACGTCAACATAATCGGGAACCAAGATCGACTCCAAGTATCGATAGTTACGCACGCGCGGTACTCAAGTCCCAAATAAAGTAAGCCGCGGAAATCCATGACGGGAGGGCCGGCGGGAACAAGCGAGCACCGCTGTTTTTTGCGCTGAGACGGAAAGTCCGAGGTCTTCTAGCATGCTTGCAACACGCGCGAATGATCTTTGCATAGAGGGACATAGAATACGTCAATCAGAATGGGAAGCCCATAAACAGATGTCATCTGCATAGATGATAATACCACTATGGTGTGGTGATTTATGCATGCATAAAGGTATTGTCGTCATTACGGTGCTAAATAGCTCTTGACTGTTGCGTGGTTTACCTTGTGGTAAACCACGCAACAGTGGATGCACGCCTCCCGTAGTCTTGCCCAAGCAAACACTAATTGTCCTGTTGCTCAGAAACTCGTGGAAATATTTTAGCATTCCTCCTGTTACAACAAGGTGATCCAAGCAGGCAAAAAATACACCATGTGGAACCGAGTCAAAGGCTCGTTCAACATAAAAAAAAACACTGCCAAAGCAGTGTCTCCTCGTGGCCGAGCGTCTTCCAACGCTTATGTAAGGCTCGCAATACAGTCAGCAGTGCAGCGTACACTTCTGAATCCCGGAATTTCAGGTGGCAGTGCCTCGATGTCGTCTAGGTACCACCGGAGACGCGTAAGCACCAAGCGTTCCAGAAGTGTTCCAGCACACGAGGTCAGAGATATTCGGTGGTACGATGACAACTCCGACGAAGGCTTGCCTCGATTGAAAATTGGGGTTACTACAGCATGCTTCTACTCATGCGGAAGAATACCAGTAGTCCACTCCAAATTTAAGCGCTCGAGCGAGACGACGCGTGACTTGTCACTCAAGTTACGCAATGCTTAATAAGTAATACCATCAGGCCCAGGAGCACTGTGGTGTTTGCATTTCCTGAGAGCCGCATCTAGTTCCGACATAGTGATAGGATGATCCAGACTCTCCAGACTTCGTGCAGGACCAGTCAGTGATCGAGAATATAAATATCCAGAAGGGCGTTGGTTTACAATAAAGCCCACCGCAAAATCATCAGCAAGTTATGATAATTCAAGGACCGTTTTAAGACTGAGGGCGATGAGCACATCTCGAGGTGTTGGAGCGCAGCACTCACCTCTCAGTACTTTGCAGATATTTGGCTTAGGTGTACATGGAGTTAATGACGAGGCAAATTGACGAAATTGTCGACAACGAAGTGCGAGAGTATGACGGAATAAAGCTGACGTAACACGACGACAGTCTATTCAATGGATACCTTACCAGGTCGGAGCACGACGGTGGGTGCGGCGGCGAACAGCTCGTAAGCGTACGAACTTCAAATCCGGGGACGGCTGAGATATTTTTAAAGATATTTTATATGTGGATTGAACGAGACATGCAGGAATACCTCTTAGTATATCATCTGACGGCTCAAGAAAGCAAAAATTTTCGCGAAATCCGTCCGAGTTTGTTACACTTTATTTACGACGTGGGAGGCGGGTCACTTTGGGTATATTCATCAAAATTGGAAGATGATCTCTTCCGCGTGTGTCCGCGTCCAACGACCAGTACACGTCTAGATTTGGGGAAGCGAGAGTAAGGTCCAGCATGCTAGGTTCTCTGCGATGACCAAAAATGTAGGAGAGGCGTCATTGAGAATAATGAAATCCGTTGATTGAATCTCATCTGCGAGAGCCGTACCCCGAGGCGTCGTACGTTTACTACCCCAGAGAGGATGGTGTGCGTTAAGATCACCACATATAAGGAGACGGCCAGGAAATTGAAGGCGTAGGCTACTAATGCACTTCGCATCAAAGAGACCAGTAGGACATATACAGGGTGTTTTTGGTAAGCTTAACAGATTTGTTTAAAAAAAGCCGTTAGAGTTACACTTATGCCGCTTGTAGAGGTGAGTTATACGGCCAGGGGGACATATTATAGGGGACTAATCCTAACGATCAGTCGTTTAATTATTTAAAATTTGTTAATTAACTTTTTAAGGAATGAAAATAGACATATGGTTCCAATTAGAAACTTGTTTAGCGTGATCGAAAACCACTAAATCAGTCATTTTCATTAAGACTTTCGGCGCGTGAGAAGCGTAGTATTGTACTAAAGTTACCACACGTGGAGCAGGTACAAGGCTGGGGCTAGATAAGAGACGGAAAAATCGCGCGGGCGCCTTATCGCAACCGCTAGCTTTGTACCTGCTCCAAGAGTGGTAACTTTAGTGCACTACTACGCTACTCACGCGCTCAAAGTCTTTCCGAAAATTACTGATTTAGTGGTTTTCATGACGCTGAGCAAGTTTCTAATTGGAACGATATGTCTATTTTCATTAATTAAAAGGTTAACTAACGAATTTTAATTAATTAGTCGACTGATCGTTACGATTAGCCTCCTATAATATGTCCCCCTGGTCGCATAACTCACCTCCGCAAGCGGCATAAGTGTGACTTTCACGGCTTCTTTTAAAAAAATCTGTTGCGCTTAAAAAAACACCCTGTATAAACAGACACAATGGCCATCCTAAAGGAGCGAAATATGACCGTGCATGCTACAAATTCAGCTGTTTCTGTACACAGATGGGACATATCCTCTGCAGCTGGCTGCACACTAGAGTGAACAAAGAGTGATGCCCGTGACGAGCTGTTAGGCGTGGCCGTCGCGCTAGGGTAATGGACATAGGGCTGAATTCGAGAGCCATGTCGGAGGTGGCATTCCGAAATTGCAAGTATAGGTACCGGCTGAGATGAAAGGTAATACTGCAACTCTGCTAATCTAGAAGTGATGCTGCAGGCATCACTTCTAGATTGTAAAATAGATGGGCAAGAAGCCATAAAAATAAAACTGAGTAGAGTAAAAACTTTCATCGCAGAAAACTTTCGACCAGAGGCTCTATAAGTGTGATAAAATTCAGGAGCTCGTTTGCCCACGGATACTGTAGAAGCGGGAGAAATTTTCGCGCTATGACGAGCATTTGGCGTACGAAGCTACCTAACGAAGAAGGGAGGGTGCTTGGATTTGGGAGGGAGGGTATAGCCTCCTGTCCAACACTTAGAGAAGCTTGAGTGGCCGATAGTACAGGTCCGGCCTGAGCCGGTGGTGACGACGATGGGGGCTTGTTTTGCAGCGCTGCTTTGTAGCTTTGTCGTCCGTTGCTCTCGCCGAAGGAGACGAGGACAGGTGCTTCCTTAGGCGGAGACTCTGTGCCCAGTGGCTTCGGGGCTTCGGCGACAAGCGATGATGATGGGTCTTGTTTGTCTGCGATAGGTTGTTCCGCCTGGCGTCGTCGAAAATGACGTTGTCTCTGTTGGGGTTTTTCAGTTAGAACAACCATCTCTGTTGCAGCTTCGGCTCGTGGAGCCGCGCGCTCGGCCGTACGTTTGTCAACTTGGGCTCGTGCTTCTGCGAAGGACACATTGTTCTCGCAGCGATAGCGACACACGGAGCGCTCAGCTTGCCAGAATGGGCACTTTTGTGATGTTGTTACAGTGTACTAGAATACTTGGGTAGTGTTGGGACCGGAGCGGCTCGGCAACGGGAGCTCGTGAGGCCGCGTGTATTGACAGTTCGTGGCGGCGCTGTAGTCGAGTTATCCGGAAATAATCGCGCAGCCCGGCTTTTTTTTTTTTTTTTTTACTTTGAGCGGTGCACGTGTCGGTATCACGATTTTATACACTCCGTTTCAACTTATGTTGTACCGCAGCGAAGGCTAGAAGCGCGAGCTCATAGCATTGGAAGCTACGCTTACCGCACGAGAGCTTGTGCCGCCGAGATGTGCCCTAGAGCAAGGAGCTCGCGCATGTAACATTCCCTGTGGTACAACACAAGGTGAAACAGGGAATAGGGCACATAAAAAAAGACCAATATTTTCAAATCTTTTTTTTTTTAATTTTTGCGGTAGGCAAAGGGTTAATGAACGGTTTAATGGGCCATGTTGCAATTGCAGCTGTAAAGGGAGCCATTTTTAAAGGCCAACCCAATTTAGAAAGTTCGCGAACAAACAACGAGCTTGGAGCGAAAGCAACAAGGCGCTCGTTTTTGTTGTGTTTATCCGTCTCTTCTCGTTTTCTTCCTCAAGCTTAATTATCTCTAGCAACCCACTCGTTCTGTCATGAGATATTCATCGCAAAAATTTTGCCTTTCTTCGCTCAATTAAAAAACCGTGCGCTGAAAGCGCAAATGAGAATGTGCTGGTATTGATGCGTAGAAGAATGACACAGTTGTTTCTGTCCCCTCGTCACTAACTCGACAGCCTGTCTTCGGTGGTATCGCTCGCGCAACACGTCAAGACGACTAAGCCACTATTCTTTGTATAATTTTCATAACGCGGTTTCTGAATCAAGCGAAGAAAGGCAAATTTTTATGATAAATTTTGCGAACCTCGTTGCCTTTTCTCTCGAATTGTCGAAATTGTGTTTGCCTTTAATAATGACTCCTTTTAAAGCTGCAATTGCACCATGGCCAATTAAGCCGTTAATAATTTATTTATTTATTTATTTATTTATTTATTTATTTATTTATTTACATACCTCTAAAGGCTCCAAAGGAGCATTACATAGAGGGGGGTGTCGTATAAACTTTTACATGATAATACAATATTTTACAAGAAAAAATAGAAGACATCGTGTCACGCTAAACAGAACCATGAAGGGAAGACATTACATAACAAGAAAGCCACACACGCACTCACATCATTTGAGGCAGTCGACGTGCTAGAAAAAAAGCAATAGACCCAGCGAGCGAGTAACAAACATACAGGGCAATATATGATTCATTCACCCTAAAGATTCACGCAATAACAACATAAATGTATCATGATCAGTGACCGTCGCAATTTCGCTTGCCAACTCATTCCATTCAGTCGCCGCTTGTACGAACGGGGAGTATTTGAACAGATTAGTTCTTGCAAATGGAATATGAACTTTGTAACAATGATCATGACGAGGGGAAATGCGAGCCGGTGGGAGAATGTTGTTTTGACGGAAATCTGAGGAACTATGATAGAGTTTATGAAAATGGGATAACCTTGCGAGGTATCTTCGCTCGTGGAGAGTCAATAAACCAAGTGAACTCTTAAGTTGACTGACGCTTATAGGTGAATACGTTTTTAGTATAAACCTGGTGGCCCTGTTTTGTAATGATTCTAAATGATTAATTAAATATTTTTGATGCGGGTTCCAAATTATAGCTGCATATTCCAACTTTGGCCTAATGAGGGTAGAGTATGCAAGTAGTTTCGTTTCTGCTGTTGCCATATATAAATGCCTTCTTAAGAAACCAAGTGACTGGTTAGCCCTCCTAAGGATATAATCTAGATGAGTGTTCCAGGAGAGGTTGGAAGTTAAGTGGACTCCTAAATACTTGTATGTGGATACTTTATCCAATTTTGAATCTATAACTTTGTAGTCGTATTGAAAAGATGAGCGACGATTGGTAAATGTCATTATTTTTGTTTTATCTATATTTATCTGCATTTGCCACGTGTCACACCATGAAAGTATGATATCCAAATCACTTTGAAGAGCCAGGCAGTCGCTTTGACTAGATATTTGACGGTATACCACACAGTCGTCTGCAAATAGGCGAATCTTTGAAGAAGTGTTGTTGGGGAGGTCATTTATATAAATTAAAAACAAAAGTGGTCCAATAACGGATCCTTGAGGGACACCAGATTTGACATGTATAGGTGGTGAGGTGATGTCATTTGCAAGTAAAATTGCTTTCTATCGTGCAAAAACTCACGAATCCATGTAATTACCTTATCATTAATTTTGAGATATTGTAGTTTTTTTATCAGACGACTGTGTGGTACACGATCAAAGGCCTTCGAAAAGTCTATAAAAATAGCGTCGATTTGTGAGGATGAGTGAATACAGGTATGCAAATCCGTTACCAGTTCAAACAGTTGGGTTTCACACGAAAGACCACGTTGAAAGCCGTGCTGATTGGGAAATAGCAGGTTGTTTGAGAGTAAGTGTTTCATGACAGATGAATATATTATATGTTCTAAAAGTTTACAAGGAACAGAGGTCAATGAAATGGGTCTATAATTTGTTGGGCAATTCCGATTACCAGATTTATAAATCGGCACGACATTTGCTGATTTCCATTCGTCCGGAATGTGGCCAGTATTAAGCGATTGCTGGAATAAGCTGGCAAGCACGGCACCTGATGCATCCTTTGTTAGTTTAAGTAGCTTCGAGCATACACCATCAGGACCCGGGCTGGATTTTGTCGGCAAGCGGTTAATGGCACTGATAACCCCATCAATATTGATTTTGCACATCGTCCATTTCTGGAATGACGATTGTAGGTGTAACATGGCGGTCAGATAAAGGGAGCTCGTCGGTAAACACTTCGCCAAAAAATGTGTTAAGTTTAAAAGCGGACTCGGATGCAGAAAGCTTTACGTCACCTTCTTGAAGTAAAGGAAATGTATTTTTTTCTTTGGGGTTTACAACATGCCAGAACTTCTTTGGATTTGTTTTTAGTATGCTAGATAAATCGTCGTTGAAAAAACTATTCTTTGCCTTTCTTATCTCATTTTTGCATAAGCGCGCACAATCTTCGTACGACTGCCAGTCGCGGTCTGAATTTGAAGAACTGGCCTTTCTGAAAAGTCTCTTCTTTTTGGAGATCAAGCGTTTTACGCTTCGTGAAAACCAGGGACAACCCTCACTCGGGTTAATGATTAACTTAGGAACAAAAGCTTCATGTATATAGATTAGTTTGTTTTTTATTGAAACCCAGTTTTCTTCAACAGAGCGTGTATGGAAGGTGCTTTCATACTGAATCAAAAAAGTCTGAAAGTGTTACCGCAATATCACTATAATTTGCCTTAGAGTAGTCATATATCACTTTTTTTAGGTTCACTCTCGTAGCATCCGATATCTTATAGCAGAAATAAACAATTCTATGGTCGCTAATTTCATCCAGCACGCGTACAGACATGTTTTCGGGGTGAGTGGCACAAACAAGGTCCAGTACTGCATCTCCGCGTGTGGGATCATTTACAAATTGTTTCATTGAAAATGAATCTAAGAGATTTATAAAACTTAAACACTCTTCTACACGTGAGCAAGTATTACGTACTTGGAGGTTGGACCAATCGATCCCAGGATAATTAAAATCACCTGCCAATATAAGGGGTAAATGTGGATACTTGAAATGAATAAATTCTAGAATATCTGTTAGTCTGTTGACAAATTCACATGTTGAATCAGGTGGTCGGTAACAAATTCCAACTATAATATTTTGAAAGGATACTGTACCAATGGAAACCCAAAGGGTTTCAAGAGGAGAGTCGATTGAAATCAGAGTGCAAGATATGTCCTTTCGAACTGCGATGATTACGCCACCGCCTCGTTTGCAAATTCGGTCCTTACGAAATATGTTAAAATTGTCGCTTAAAAGTAAACTGGAATTTGAAATAGTATCGGTAAGCCACGTTTCGGTTGCAACAATAACATCTGCTGAGCATGAAATAATGCTGCTTGCGAAATCATCCTGTTTTGGCAGAAGGCTTCTAAAGTTTGCTAGCAAAAATGAGAGAGGGCGGTGCTGATTGCAGGCGCTCACAGTTGTTCTAGGTTTGGATTTATATTTTTTGTGTCACGATTGTAGATCCCGTGGCGCGTCTGCAGTTCTCCGTTCCCTCGAGGCAGGCAAAACACTATCGGTATCGTCGCAGTAAACGTACATCTGATTGTTGATAAAGAGCTTATCAAAAGCAAGGTTTACCCCATCGCGCGTGGTTCGGACCGATTTTGCATAATCCCAAAGTTTTTTTCGAATTTTCCTCACTTTTGGCGAATAGTCTTCCTCTATCCAAACTCGCGGGGTGTCAGTCGACCTTAGTCGCGACGCGCCATGGAGCACATCGCGCTTGCTCTTGAAACTTAGGAACTTAACAATAATTGGTCTGTTAAAACCTTCCCTTTTGCGGCCAACACGATGCGCCCTTTCTATATCGCCGACGTTTAGCTGCAACCGGTCCGAAAAGAAGGAAAGTGCGATTCGTTCAGTCTGAGCCCACGATTCGTTTCCCTCCTCAGGAATCCCTTTAATCAGCAAGTTATTTCTTCTCATTTGGTTGTTCATGTTGTCGACGATGTCACTTAAACCACTTACGTCCTGCTGTTTCGAGGATACGTCTTCAATTTTTCTTTCAATATCGGTGACAACATCATTTGTTTTTTTAATTTCGTTTTGTACTTCCTTAATCTTGCCAACGGAGCTCTCGAGACTTGAAACTCTGCGTGTCAAGTCACCGATTCCCAACGACAGTTCATTTAGTTTGTCAGTGGTCTCTTTTTGATGTCTCGCATTGTCAGAAATAACAGTGTTCAGCTTCCGGAGTATTAGGTCAAGCTTAGAGCTATCGCCCTCTTTAGGGCCGGGGCCGGGGTTAGCTTCGATGTCACCAGAACACATGAGCAATTTGGCGATGCAGAGAGTGAGCAACAGGATACGAGCACTTGGAAAAGCCCTGCGCAATAATAAGGCACCACTTTGTAACCTCGTGGGCACTCCCTTTGGTCTCACTTTGTTTTTTGGACAAAAAGTACCGACACGGGCCCTGTAGGTACAAATGTCGACGCCCATTGCACACAAAAATCACAGGGACAACACTTTGGGATTTGCGGCAAAAAAGAAGCGGGTAATAACAACGTGGTAGGATTTCAACTCACCTACAGCAAAGATAAGTTCAAAATTAGCGTGCAAAGCGCTAGGCCGCAAATCCCGCTTGAGGCGATGTGAGCACTTCTTTTGAAGGATCGGTGATGCGGTGTCGCTAGTAGTCCGGATGGTTCCGATATCAGGGCACGGGGCAGTTTTCCTCGTCGATGGCAATCAGCTGTGGCGACGATCAGCCTCGAAGTGCGGGTGACTACAGCAAAGATAAGTTCAAAATTAGCGTGCAAAGCGCTAGGCCGCAAATAAACAAGTGAACTAACAGATTTTGGTTAATTATTAAACATTGCAACGGTTATTCACCCATTTATTGTCCACCGAGCCCTGCACATATGACGAAAGACAGCATCCACATATCTGCCACACAGTGGCGTCACAAGGGGGGGGGGGGGCGGCGGATCGCCTCGGGTACAACGCTCAGGGGGATGTCGCGGCGGGCCACGAGAGCGGGGGGGGGGGGGGGGGGGGGGGTCGCGGCGGGCTATTGCCCCGGGTGCCGCTGACCCTCGTGACGCCACTGCTGCCACATCCTTTTTTGTAAAATATGTAAAGTTCTGTAAAGAATCAAACAAAAACACCCTGTATGTCTGCGTGAAACAGATACGCCCCCTGTGGTACCATGGGTCTTTCCCTTCGAATACCCAGCTCAGGCGAGACTTCCCTGGTTGTCAGAAAGCTGCTGTCGGTTAAATGTATTGTTATGAGCGTGTAGGTTTCAGATGGTTTACCCTCAAGAGGATAATGCGCTGCATATCGTAACCATGTATGCGCTGCACATTGTAACCATTATTTTAATGCCGTGCTAGAAACTATTACAACTTTTTCCTTGCCTGATCTACGTGTGCTCATGTTTTCTGCTCAAAATGAACTGAAATAGTTGCCTGCTTTCTTTGAATTTTATGAAGTATTACTTGTTCAGCCCACGTTGTCTCAGTTTTTGGACTTAAGTTCAATGTTAAAACGCGTGATAAAAATTGTCACGGCTTATAAGCCATTTCTTACAAGTGAGCGTCGGGTGATCCTCGGATGGTCGTGGCAGCCATGAGGAAATAAAAGATTCTCACCCCTTTGCGACCGTCGCTTCGGTGGTTCGTCGCATAAATGAACAAAAGAATGAGTGACAAGTGAAGCGAGCTGATTAAGGTCAAGAAAAAGAAGACGGGTAGAAAAGAAGACAGAGAAGTTAATCTGGGGTATAAAAAACATACTAAAACAATCTCAGACTTTAGTATGTGCCGTTTCGTTTCATTATAAAATAAAATAGGAAAAAAAACTGCTTCCGAGTTTTAGATATTCCTTTCAAATATCTAATGTTCGGCCTTTGCGACCTAGGAAATGGGCATTTCATTTAAAATGCTCACCATCCGACAAACCGAAAGTCGCAGCTAATTCTATGCTGAAACAGCTTGCGATCCGCTTTTTAAAGTCGCAATTGTTTTTATGTAAAGGAAGGGTAATATAACTTGTACTGCCCAATACATTGAAGCATCATGTTGCTAACGATCGTGCCGCAGCGTAATTGCTGCCGCACTACGACCGCTGGCAGGTCGTAGCTCTATCAGAAAGCGTATGTGCACTCCACTAAAGCGGCACCGAAGATTCATATTTTCGCGCGTGTAGCCGCGCATGCGCACACCTTCCGGATAACGCGCCGGTGTCGACA